CACTTACATGACTTGTCCTTCTCCCTATCTTTATCCAGTCTGCCATGGAAAGAGTGATACAAAAGTTCATATTTTGAAGTGAAACTGAGAACACCTCTTTTCCCTCAAGGGGGATGTGTGTATGTTTTTTCAGAGTCACTATGATCAATGGCCTAAGTTATCACAGGTATCTAGTGTTTGTACACTGTGTACAGCTTCAGCTTTTCTGGAAGGAAATAATGTGGTAATATTTTCAGCTTAATTTGCATTTGCATGCAATTTGAGTTTGGGACTCAATGCAAAGTGAGCTTAACACTTGTTAATTTTATGACAGCATAATTACAGAGGTAAGCAGAAATCCAGCAAGGTGGAGATGGGGTAGTGAGGAACAGCTAAGTTTGTAACTTTTAATTCTTACTTGCAGAATTATCAAGGCGAAACAAATGTAAGGGTAATTATGGTTATAAAATGTAAAAATTCAATAACTGACTTCCTTTTTTAAAAAATACGGCATTACTTTTTTACAGTTTGTATATGTTAACCACCTCTCTTTCCTTTTTTTTTTTTTTTTTTTTTTTTTTCAGGTTACCAGTCATGTGCATGAAAGTTAGAAACCAGAGTAATTCAGGCTGTGTGAGCAGTTCTTTCACTGATATGTTTAAGTTCTGGTGATCTTTTATTATGTAGTCTCTACTTCTTTTTGCTCAAGCTATTAATATAGTGAAGATGTATGGTAATGGTGGAAAGAATAGAGCTCTGTAATATCTTTACTATTCATTAAGCAACTCTTACACAATACAAAGACTGCAGTGCATAGACAGTTATTAATTTCTGCAAGCTCTTCTTCTAGGGTGCTTCTTAATGTATTATTTTAATGGCTCACAAGTATTGATTCAGCACCTCTTTGAGATGAGGGAATATTGTTTTCCCATCGGTAAAATTAGTGTAATAAACAAGATGTGATCTGGGGTCGCAAAAAATAATCAATGGTGGAACAGAATTAGAATTCAAATTCGCCTGCTTCCACGCTGTGCTGGTTTCTCCAGAAAATAATGTAGGTTGAATGTCTATATCCAGTGACCATTACGAGTGCCGGGCGCTTCTTCATATTAGGTTCTGTTGAGAGCGTGCAGTTAATGTCTAGGGACAAGCAGCTTTTTTTAGCCCAATATTGACGTAGCAGTGAAGCAGTGACATATACAAAACCTCATAAATACTGTGCTCTTCCTTCTCCTTGGTCTTTTTGCCGATGACTTACAACTTCTGCAACAAGTGGAGGAGCAATCATACGGATTTACTTATCCCTGCTTAACCTTGATTGATTGTTGGAGTACCATCCACCCACTATGCTGAACAAGGAGGGGTCCTACTGGAAAACATACTAAGTGCTCCTGTGGTTAAACATGGTGATAATGGGAATAAACACACCAGGGGATGAATTAAAGTTGCACAGGAAACTTTCTGACTTGTAAGTGCTTTACTTTGAACCTAAACAATATTATAACTTTAATGCAAAAACAAATTCTGTCACACATGCTGGCAGGGTCATTATGGTTGCATGTCAGTGGCGCTGAAATGTTCCAGGCAGAAGCACAGCTTGAGCTCAGGGCTAACTACATTAGTTGGAAACAGGAGGAAGCTGTTTCTGTAAAGTTGAAGGGGAAAGGTCAGTGTGGCAATGGGCTTATTGCAGAGGATTGTTGGGATTTCACAATCCCATCCTTTCTTCTCTGACTTGTTCGAGGGGTGGGAGGGAAACACTGGAGACAGAAACAGCGTCCTCTGGTCATGAGTTGAACTTCTGGTGGGAGCAGAAAGTAGTTTTGTTGCTCTCTTATCTCCCTCTTTACACTTGCGAGGTGTGTGGTAGTGTATGTAACTTCATTCCCTACCTGTGTCTCTGCACCTTCTAGGTGATGCTTGAGACTTGGCAATTTAGTGAAAGAAGCCCAGCCCCACTGTGCCTTATCTTCTTTTGAAAAAGTATCACCTGTCATGTTTATATATCCAGGATCTTTTTGTGGATGTTTGGTAAATTGGGATGTTACTTGTTTGGTTTTTGTTTTGTTCTTCTTGCTGTCAAATTACTATTGGTTATGTAGACTGTTGGAGCCTGCTCATTTTTATTTTTTCTTGGTCTTTGATGCATGCTCTAAGTTTTGGCTTGTCCGTAGCTGAGAAGGATTTCGGAGGCTGCTTCTTCCCTAAAGGGATATTATTTCTCCTGTAACATAAATCAGACTGGTTGCTTCAGTCATCTTGATTGAGGGGAAAAAAAGAAAAATCTTGATTTTTTTTTTTTTTTTTTTTTTTTTTTTGTGATGGAGATTTAGTTGGAGTTAAGAATTCTTTATTAAAAGAAAAGTTTTTGATGGTGCCATGTTCATTAGATATATGTATTGTTTATGTATTTTCCCTCTTCATGACACCTATGACTATAGTAGGGGTCCTACTGCTTTTTTCATTCAGTTTTCCTTTCACAAATTTCCAGTTTGAATCTTCCATATTGGTATTTTAAAAGTTACAACGATTTTTGCTATGAAAATGGAATAAAACTCTTTCTCTAGTTCATATGGAACCTTATATCCAGTCCCAATATCCATTTTGCTTTTCTACTACACAAAACCCCCAAAGTAAATAGAAACCAGTGCTCTTGCTGTAGAGACCATTTCCACCCAGATAGTATTCAGTTTGTTTAACTGCTCCATCATATTGTCCAAATTGCCTTTTTTTCAATGTGATTCCTCTAATTTTTTTCTTCAAATTAGTATTTCTTACCCACTTGTTCAGTTGCATCCTGGAAATAGTATGCAGAAGAGGGCAAGGCAAGAAGACTACAAGACAGTGGATCCAGTGCATGAGTTAAATTTTGCTTATCTTTTATTTTTGGGCACTACAGTAGCTATACTTACCCCTGGTGCCCAGAAAACTAACTGTCATTTTTTGACCTCCTTGTCAACTGTTGCTGGACTTACTCCTTATGTTCCTGTCATAGGAATCAAAGAATACTTTAGGTTGGAAAAGATCTTTGAGATCATCAAGTCCAACCATTAACCTAACACTGCCAAGTCTGCCACGAAACCATATCCCTAAGCACCACATCTACACGTCTTTTAAATACCTGCAGGGATGGCAACTCCACCACTTCCCCAGGCAGCCTGTTCCAGTGCTTGACAACTCTTTTGGTGAAGAAATTGTTCGTGACATCCAAGGCCATTTCCTCGCATCCTATCGCTTGTTACTTGGGAGAAGAGACTGACCCCCTCCTCGCTATAACCTTCTTCCAGGTAGCTGTGAGGTAGCTGTGGAGAGTGATAAGGTCTCCCCTCAGCCTCCTTTTCTCCAGGCTAAACCACTCCAGTTCCCTCGCCTGTTCCTCATAAGACTTATGCTCCAGACCCTTCACCAGCTTTGTTGTCCTTCTTTGGACACACTCCAAACAAAAAAAAAAAAAGGAAAAGACGCTGTAGGTACAGTGTTGCTCTTCTTCATTGGCGTGTTCAATTTTAAAGGGATATTGTTTTTAAAACTTTACTCTTCATTTTAAAGTATCATTTTCACATTTCTAAGGCTTTGACAAATGCTGGTTCTTGCTCCAGAATCCGTCTTTACAAGATAAACCAGGGCTATTATGGTAAACATCTTCTAAGTAGACATGTATTTACAGCTTAGGTAATATATATGTATTTCAATAGTAATGGAATAAGAATAGAAACAGTGAGGTGAAAAAAATGCACAGAGGC